TCTTTCAATTTCCTAGGCAAAAACGTTCAGCATGACCTAGATCATATATATCTTTCTATATATTAACTTAACACTCTGAGTGGTAAGACTCTTTTTTTGGCTAAAATGTTGGGTCCTCCCTTTTGAGTTTTAATGGAGAAGAAGGCAGTTCATGTGGAGCCGTTTCGTGATCAACCTTCAACGAAGTCAACATAGCATTCATTCATATATGTACAGAGAAATTCATTCTTGCAGGAATGCCCAGCTCAAGAGATGTCCGCAAGAGAATTAATTGTCCTTTGAATTAGTGTAGAATTTTGTCAACCGATATTTATGAAGGTCCCATTATTTCTGATTTTGTGCTGTAACACAGGGTTGTTACAAGCACCTTTCATCCACTGACATTAGCACATGTCTGTACAGTTAGTCATCTAGAGTGGAAAAACTGGTATTATTGATCCATATTGGCTTACGCTTTAGACCTTTGGATGCGGTGGAGAAACCATCAAGTGACACAAGCATCCAGATGAGATCAAATGGCCTCTGCATCTTCACTCAGATCTGGTCATTTATAGAAAAATGTTTTCTGGACAAATTTTTCAAGTTTTGCTTCTAAATCTTTCGATTATTAGTGTAGTAATTGATTAAATGATTTGTCAATTGTTTTACAATATGAGCAGTGCTACAAGTAGGTTGTATAATATAACGTGAGAATGTTAACGATCTCCCTGAGGAGAGCCCCATCCTGAAGGCTGGTGAGGAGAAAGAGATCGGAAAGCAGGGCTTGAAGAAGAAGCTTACGAGGGAAGGTGAAGGGTGGGACACCCCTGAGAATGGCGACGAAGTTGAAGGTAAAAACCAAGACCAATGTTAAATATTTAACTCGGGTTTCTGACATGCTTGTTTCAAGGGTTCTGATTTTTTTTCTTTTTTTCTGCTGTCATTATACGAGACCTTTCCGAATGTAAATTATATATATATAGGTTAGTGTTTGTCTGTTTTATTTTTAAAAAATTGAGAGAAAAAATAATAAAAAAATATCTTAATTTATGTTTTAAAAATATACTATTTTAATTTTTTTATATGTGTTTATTAAAATAAC